TCTACATAGGGAAATAATAAGAACAGAAGGAATGGAAATTAAAAAGGAGGATTATACTGGGAAGGAAAGAACATCAAACAAAATAAATTTCTTGATTTGCAAGAAGAGATTAAAAGGTGAAAATAAAAAAAATAAAAGAAGTAGAATGAAAGTGTATGCCAATAAACTAGGGAATGAATAAACAAATTTATTTTACATAAATTTAAATAAATGTTATCATACCATTAAAAATTATGAATAAGACAATTTCAGAGAATCCTGGGGAGTATAAAATGATGCAAAATGAAACTAAATAGAACTAGGAGAACAAATTTTTAAAAGGACAGCAACACTGTAAACAAAACAAATTTGAAAGACTTAAGAATTCTGACAAAGGCAATTACTAGCCATATCTCCAGACAATCCTATCATGAGGCATGCTACATTCCTCCTGACAAAAAGATTAACGGACTAAAAGTACAAAAAAGTGCACTAGAAATACAAAGAAAGGCAACTGCAAGCAAAAGTCCTTGTCTCAAAGAACTCTCAAACTAATGAAGGGAGAAAATATACAAACAACTATGTACAAACAAGTTATATATGGGATAAATGGGAAATAATCAACAGAGAGAAGGTATTAGAATTGAGGGATTCTACTGGATATAGACATGGTACACAATAATTTTGCTTTAGCATTAAGTTTCTTACAAGAATTTTGTTTTATTTTTCCTTTCTCTCAGTCTTTAGTACGAGTGGTGGAGGGGTGCGGGGGCGAGCTCAGGTTGAAGAGGTGTGAAGTGAGCAGCATCAGTGCTTCCATTATCACTGGAGCACTGAGTAAAAGGAAAGGACTAATGAGAAAGGATACTGGAAAGGTAGTAAAGGGGGAAGTTGTGAAGGCTTTTGAAGACAAAGTAGTAATCTTGTATTTGATCCTAGAAGTGATAAGGATCCCCTGGAGTTTGCTGAGTAGGGAAGTGACATAGTCAGACCAGAAAAGAAAACTGGAAAGGAAAAAATTGCTTTAGCAGTTGAGGATGGAATGTAAAAAAGAGAACTGAGGCAGAAAGAACCAGAAGACTACTGCAGTAGTTCAGGTGTGAGGTGATGAGGACAAGCATGACAGCCATGTGAGTGGAGAGAAGGGATATAAGTCTGAGAAGTTGTGAAGGTAGAATTGAGGAAACTTGCCATGAGACTGGATATATGAGGTGAATTCTAGTGAAAAGTTGAGGATTATACCAAGATTGGAAACATGGGTGAACTAAAGGTCGAGATCAAAGGTTAAGAGAAAGGACCCATATGTCCAAACATACTTACAACAGCATTTTTTCTCATAGCAAGGAACTGAAAACTAAGAGCATACCTAGGAAGTGAGGAACGAAAATAAATTATCGCATATTAACAGTCAGTCAACAAGCACATATTAAGACGCTACCAAATTCCTGGCGGTGTCTAAAGCACTAGGGATACAAAGAAAGGCAATTGCAAGCAAAAGTCCCTGCTGTCGAGGAGCTCTCAATCTAATGGGGGGAGAAAACATACAAACAACTATGTACAAACAAGTTATATATGGGATAAATGGGAAATAATCAACAGAGAGAAGGCATTAGAATTGAGGGATTTAGAAAGACTTCTTGTAGAAGGTGGGATTTTAGCTGGGACTTGAAGGAAGCCAGGAGGCAGAGATGAGGAAGGACAGCATTGCAAGCATGAGTGACAGACAGTAAAAAATGCAAGGAATCAGGAGATGTAGTATCTTGTACAAAGAAGAGCAAGGAGGCCAATGTCATTAGAACAGTTTGAGAGGACAAAGGAAAGGTATGAAGGCTTGAAAGCAGAAGATAACTAGATTATGAAGGACTCTGAAGGAGGATTTCATTTTTTTTACTGTCACTTTTTTCCCCCATTTTTTAATAATTTATTTTGATTTATCAATAATCACTTCCATATGCTTTTGAGTTTAAAATTTTCTCCCCCTTCCTCCCCACCATCCTCCCCAAGACAGTGCACGATCTGATATAGGCTATACATTTACATTCATAATAAACATATTTTCACATTAGTGATGTTGTAAGTAAAAATTAAAACCAATAGGAGGAACCATTAGAAAGAGGAAACAAAAACTCAACAGAAGAGAAAAAAAAAATTGCAATTCAACTTCCATAGTTCTTTCTTTAGATGTGGATAGCATTTTCCATCACAGGGCCTCTGGAGATGTCTTAGATCCTTGTATTGCCAGGAAGGGTTAAGTTTATCAATATTAGTCATCACACAACGTGGCTGTTATTGTGTACAACATTCTCTTGGTTCTGCTCACTTCACTCAGCATCAGATCATACAAGTCTTTCCAGGTTTTTCTGAAGTCAGCCTGTTCCATCATTTCTTATAGCACAGTAGTATTCCATCACATTCATATACACAACTTGCTCAGCCATTCCCCAATTGATGGGCATGAGGATTTCATTTTTAAGAATATAATATAATGTTACTGTGCTAAAACAAATGATGAAAAGAATAGATTCAGAGAAACTTGGGAAGACTGCATGAACTGACAGAAAGTGAAGTCAGCAGAATCAAGGGGTCAATTTAAACAATAACTACAACAATGTAATGAAAAATAATTTTAAAGATTTAAGAATGCTAATCAATGCAATGACCAAGCATGAGTATAGATGCTACTCATCTCTGCAAAACTTATGATGGACCCAGGTCCAAAATGATATATACATTTTCTGAGATGTCTATGTGTGGAATTCTTTTATTTGAATGTGCATATTTGTTACAAAGTTGTTTTTGAATTTTGTTTTAAAAGGAAGGGAGAACCCACATGTACAAAAATATTTATAGCAGGTCTTTATGTGGTGGCAAAGAATTAAAAATTGAGGGGATGCCCATCAACTGGGGAATGGCTGAAAGTCGTGGTATATGAATGTAATGGAATACTATTACGCTATAAGAAATGATGAGCAGGTTGACTTCAGAAAAACCTGGAAAGATTTACATGAACTGATGCTGAGTGAAATGAGTAGAACCAGGAGAACACTGTACACAGTAACAGCCACGTTGTGTGATAACTAACTTTGATAGATTTAGCTCTTCTCAGCAATGTAAGGATCTATGACATCTCCAAAAGACTCATGATGGAAAATGCTATCCACATCCAGAGAAAGAACTATGGAGTTTAAATGCAGATCGAAGCATACTATTTGGTCTTTTTTTTTTTCTTCTGTTTTGTTTTGTTTCTTCTTTGTTGTGGTTCCCTCCTATTGGTTCTAGTTCTTCTCTACAACATGACTAATGTGAAAATATGTTTAATAGGAATGTATATATAGAGCCCATATCAGACTGAACATCTTCTTAGGGAGGGAAGTGAGGAGGGAGGGGGAGAAAATTTAAAACTCAAAAGCTTATGAAAATGATTGTTGAAAACTAAAAATAAATAATTTTTTTTAAAAAAAGAGGGGGAGAAGACTAGGGAAGGTAAAAAAAAAGAAAATTCAAAGGGACATAACACAAAAGCAGAATCATCTTTGAAAGAAAAGTGTCTACTACATTACTGACTCTCTTCTAAAAAGCAGTAGCAATAAAGACTAATGATTTCATATACATTCCTCTATTTCTGTTCTTAGAACATGGAAAAATTATGCTTATAGATTTTTTTAAAATTCAAAATAATAAAAAATAAAAAATTTTAAAAATAAAATTAACTGAAACTAGGATCATGTAATTTATAATTAAATATGCATATTTTGTGAATGCTCAAAGTTTTTACTTAAGAGGTACAGAATCAAAACAGAATGGAGAACAAAGAACTAGAGTCATAGAAACTACCTATTCTTTCTTCTCCCAAACCAAAGATATTTAAAGTTTTACCTGAAACATAAACAGAAAGAAAATTCTCAAATGTAAAAACACCAATCTTAGCTGAGAGATAAATAGCTTGCAGTTCAAGCATCAGACCTTCAAACCATAAGATTCTATCACTCTTTGCTTACTTCTGAGTAATTTCACTACTACTCTTATCATATCCCTTAAAAAAGAAAAAAATAAAAAACCTCAAAGAAGTCACAGGTTTATCAAGAGCTAAAATATATTCTGAATATCCTACAGTACAACCATATCATTTGCAGAAGAAGAAACTAAAGAATTCTATAAGACCATAAAATTATTAGTAATTAACAGAACTAGTATTTGTAAGTTTTCTAAATACCAATTCAATTTTTTTAAAAACACAAAATCATACACTTTGTGTTACGCTAATCTTTTACACTAAGAATCAAAGAAGTGCTATACGGAGAAACGATACATCTCATATTGAACTTATTTTTTTGTCTCTGGTTTGTTACTCTGGGTGAGCCACTGTCCTTTTATAAAGGAACTTTAAAAAATGTAAAAAGAAACTAATGAAGGCTGTCATGGGTAGCAGGGAGCAAGGACAAAAACGTACTCAGGATTCCTTAACTTCAATTTTTATAAAAAATTAGGTTAAAGAAGAGAAACTTTATATTTGATAAAAGACAGAGATTATACCATACTTTAATAATAATAAAAAAAAAGATACCATTTTTCTATTTTTGTTTGGTCTCTGGTATTTTGATACAATTAAAATTCAACAAACTGAATCAATTATCAATAAATGATTGGTAACCGCAAAAAAGCTTATTTACTTTAATTGGCATACTTATTAACTTAGTACTAATTGAAGGGATAAGGAATTATCTTTATGTGTGCATACGTCTGAACAGGACAGTATTACTCAAAAAAGTGGCATGTAGGCAAACTCCACAGAACACTGCCCGAGCTAATGACAACACTGACTAAGATATACCAATGTGCTGTTGTAAAAGTCTGCTTATGTACTACATCTTCCCAAAAATAAATTTATTCATCTATCCATTTATTCACTCCTTCAATAACAAGCTGAGTGAGTTCTAGGTAAAAGATATCAAGCAACATTTATCGGTATCAATGAAAATAAAGAACTTTTAATTTTTGTAATTGTACAAAATATATCTTACCTTGAAATCTTATTAACAAAAGGCTTCAATTCCCCAGGCTCATAGGCACGGGCAAAAGCCCAACAAACATAACATGCAGCATCTCTCACATTGGAACCCACACTGCAGGCTCCTCGTTTTTCATCATATGTCAGTGCTTTCAATATCACAGGGACAACTAGGGAAGAGAAGGGGGGAAAACATTATAAAATCCAACCTGAGCAAAATTAAACATATAAAAATATATACATGCTTATATATGTGTGTATACAGACATATTAACTTTAAAATGCATATAAAGAGATATAGATGTCATAAATACATACACATACATAAACACATAATTCCTATTTGTCTCCCTAATGTTCAACATAGTGCTTTGCACATAGTAAGCACTTGTAAATGCTTTTTAATACATTCCATCATGAATGGTAACCTCAATGAAAAGTTAGGAATTAATTAAGATGGTGAAAAATATATGGGAAAGTATGACTTGGTAAAAAGTAATGGGAGTGGCCAGAGAAATAAGGACTATATGAAAGTCTAATGCATTTGATACCATGAGCACTTTCTTTAAGAAATGAATTGGTAGACACTGAACAAAGCAAATACCAAAAAACATCATGAAAAACAATCAAGTAAATTATATTTTAACAGATGGAGGAAAATTGTGATTGAAGTGATACTTATCCCTGATAAGTAGCACTATATGACCAACTTGTTCAGCCAAATATCAGTAATTTTTTAAAAATATGGTAAACAATTAAAATTCAATCCTGAAATAATTTTTAAAAGTAATTAGTGATGAAAAATTGGAAATCAATATCAGAAATTGCTAATAACAACAAGTTGAACAGATGTAAATCTATTGCCACAGCAAGGACAAAGGAGCACAAAAAGTACCTTAGTAAGCAAACATGACTTTCTTGCCAAGTGGAGACAGATGGCAGCCAAACCAGCTTAGAATATAAACCCCACCTCAACTCAGCATCAGGTAAGCTACCAGACCCCTATAGCCACCAGCTGCTAGCAGCTGAGGCCCCGGCACACAAAGCCAGCGACCAGAACCATGGACCCCAGCACAAGAAACTTGAGACAGTGCCCCCTGTGCTCCAGCAGGACAGCTCAACTTAAAAAGCCAGGAAATAGGCAAACATCATGAGCAAAAAGCAGAAATGGATAACGATCATAGATTATTTCTATGGGGAGAGGGAAGATCAAAACACAAATTCAGAAAAGGACAACACTGTCAATATACCATACATCTGAAACCTAAAAAAGGGAATATGAACTGGTCACAAGCCCAAAAAGCTTCTTGGAAGAGCTCAAGAAGAATTTTAAAAGTCAAATAAGAGAGGCAGGAGAAAAACTGAGAAAAGAAATGAGAGGTATGCAAGAGAGAGTCAACAGCTTCGAAAATGACAGACAAAAACTGACTATAGAAAACAATTCCTTAAAAAAATAATTGGGGGAAGCTAGGTGGCGCAGTGGATAGAGGACCGGCCCTGAAGTCAGGAGGACCTGAGTTCAAATCTGCACTCAGACCAAACACTTGACACTTACTAGCTGTGTGACCCTGGGCAAGTCACTTAACCCCAATTGCCTAAAAATAATAATAATAATAAAAATACAATTGGCCAAAAGGAAAAAAAGTACACTGAAGAAAACAACTCCTTAAAAATTAGAATTGGGCAAATAGAAGCCAATGACTCCATGAGCCATCAAGAATCAGTCAAACAGAAACAAAGGAATGAAAAAAATAGAAGAAAACATAAAATACCTCACTGGAAAAACAACTGACCTGGAAAATAGATCCAGGAGAGATAATTTAAGAATTACTGGTTTAAATAAAAGTCATCATCCAAAAAGCAGTCTGGACAGCATCTTTCAAGAAACCATCAATTTACTTATTCAGTGCCATACTAATCAAATTACCAAAAAATTATTTTATAAAGCTAGAAAAAACAATAATAAAATTCATCTGGAAGAACAAAAGGTACAGTATATCAAGGAAACTAATGAAAAGAAATGCAAGGGAAGGTGGCCTACCTGTACTACATCTTCAATTGCATTATAAAGCAACAATCATCACAACTACTTGGTACTGGTTCAGAAATAGAGAGGTAAATCAGTGGAATACGTTAGGCATACAAGACACAGTAGTCAATGACTATAGCAATCTACTATTTGATAAACCTAAAAACCCCAACTTCTTGGATAAGAACTCACAAAAGTGAGAAGATAAGAACTAACAAAAATTGCTGGGAAAACTGGAAGATAGTAGGGCAGAAACTAGGCATAGTTCAACACCTTCCATCCTATACCAAGATATAATCAAAATGGGTACATGATTAGATATTAAGACTGACACTATAAGCAAACTAGGAGAACAAGGAATAGTTTACCTATCAGATCTATGGAGAAGGGAAGAATTCATGGCCAAACAAGAGATAGAGAACATTATGAAATGTAAAATGGATGACTCTGATTACATTAAATTGAAAAGCTTTTGCACAGACAAAGCCAATGCAACCAAAATTAGAAGGGAAGCAGAAAGCTGGGAAACAATTTTTACCACCAGTGCCTCATTTCTAAAATATACAGAGAACTGAGTCCCATTTATAAGACTACAAGTCATTCCCCAATTGATAAATGGTCAAAGGATATGAACAGGCAATTTTCAGAGGAAGAAATTAAAGCTATCTACAGTCATACAAAAAATGCTCTAAATCGCTACTGATTAGAGAAATGCAAATCAAAACACCTCTGAGGTACCACATCACACCTATCAGACTGGCTATCACGACAAGACAGGAAAATGATAAATATTGGAGAAGATGTGGGAAAAATGGAACACTAATGCGTTGCTGGTGGAATTATGAACTGATCTAACCATTCTGGAGAGCCATTTGGAACGATGCCCAAAGGGCTATGAAATTGTGCATACCCTTTCACCCAGCAATACCACTTCTAGGTCTATATCCCAAAAAGATAACAAAAATGGGAAAAAGGACCCACATATAGAAAAAAAAATATTTATAGCAACTCTTTTTGTGGTGGCAAAATATTGGAAATTGAGGGGATGCTCATCAGTAGGGGAATGACTGAACAAGTTGTGGTATATGAATGTAATGGAATACTATTGTGCTATGAGAAATGATGACCAGGCAGACTTCAGAAAAACCTGGGAAGACTTATATGAAGTGAACTGAGCAGAACTAGCAGAACAAGATATATGGTAAGAGCCACATTGTGCCATGATTGACTTTGATAGACTTAGCTCTTCTCAGCAATGCAAGGATCTAAGAAAACTTCAAAAGACTCAAGATGGAAAATGCTATCCACATCCAGAGAAAGAACTTAGGAATCTGAATGCAGATGGAAGCATACTATTTGCTCTCCCTTTCTTTTGTTGTCTTGTTTTGTTTCTTCTTTCTCGTGATTCTTCCCATTCGTTCTAATTGTTCTTTACATCATGACTAATGTGAAAATATGTTTAATACGAATATATAAGTAGAGCCTATATCAGATTGCACAACATATTGGGGAGGGGACAGAAGAAGGAGGGGGAGAAAATTTAAAACTCAAAATTTAGTAGAAGAAAATGCTGAAAACTAAAAGTAAAATTTATTTTAAAAAAGAGATCAAGGGGAGATAATTTAAGAATTATTAGACTACTTGAAAGCCATAATGAAAAAAACAGCCTAGACATGAGAGTTTAAGTGGTTATAAAGATCCTCATGCCTTAGAAGCAGAAGGTAAAATAGAAGATGAAAATCCACTGATAATCTGCTCAAAGAAAACCATAAGTGAGAACTACCAGAAATATTATAATCAAATACTAGCACTTCCAAGTTAAGGATAAAATACCGCATGCATTTAGAATGAAAAAAAAAAGTCAAATACCACGAAGCCAAAGCCAGAATAACACAATATTTATCAACTACCCCTACAAAGGAGCAGAGAACCTAAATTGACCACAGTAATCTAGATCCAAGTTTTGGGGGCAAGAACTCACTATCTGACAAAAACTGCTTGGGGAAAATGGAAAGCGGTCTGGTAGAAACTGGGTATAAAACTACATCTCACACTGCCTATCCAGATAAGGTCAATAGGGGTACATGATAGATGTAAAGAATGATATCATAAGCAAATTAGGAGAGCATGGAAAAAACTGCCTGTCAAATCTAGGGCAGCTAGGTGGCGCAGTGGATAGAGCACTGGCCCTAGAGTCAGGAGGACGTGAGTTCAAACCTGGCCTTAGACACATGATACTCACTAGCTGTGTGACCCTGGGCAAGTCACTTAATCCCTATTGCCTTGCAACTCTCCACCCCCAATGCTTTATCAGTTCTTTCTCTGAATAAGGATAGCATTTTTCATTGTTAAGTCTCTTGAAATTGTCTTGGATTATTGCATTGGTCAGGGTAGCTGAGTCTTTTATAATTGATTATCATTACCATTTGCTGTTACTGTGTACAGTGATCTCCTGGTTCTGTTCACTTTACTTTGCATCAGTTCATATGAGCTTTCTTGAAAACTATCCTCTTCATTATTTCTTATAGCAAAACAATATTCTGTCACATTCATATATCAATTTGTTCAGCCATTCCCCAATTGATGGGCATTGTCTCAATTGTCTCAATTGCCTAACCCACCCCCCCAAAAAAAGCAATGGTGAGATACCACCTTACAACTATCAGATTGGCTAATATGACAGAAAAAAAATGATAAATGCTGAAGGGCATGTGAAAAAATAGGTACACTAATGCAATGTTGGTGGTGCCAACCAATCTGGAGAACAATTTGGAACTATACCCAAAGGGACATAAAACTGTGCATATCTTTTGACCCAGAAATTCTGCTAATCAGTCTGTATCCCAAAGAAAACAAGGAAAAAGGAAAAGAACCCATATGTACAAAAATACTTACATCAGCTCTTTTTTTGGTGGCAATAAGTTGAAAATTGAGACAAGATCTGGACAGTTTTCATTTAAGATATGTTGCTCGGGCAAGGTTCTGTACCTCCCCAACTAAGCTGCTAATTCTCTTTCCAATTCTTTGTTCCATTGCTCTCATTTCCAATTTTTTCCTCTAGTATTCTAATTTCATTTATAAAAATGTTTTAAACCTTTTTTTTTTTTCTTAAATTTGCTTCATCTCTTCTAGGAACTCCAG